ATATTCACGTGAAAAAAGAAACAAAACCTTAAGTTATGTACAACTAGTTAACAACAACAACGGCTTCAATGTATATACCACACGGGCAAGCATGACGGGTTGTTGTTTTTAGTTGTCAACGTTGTGTTTACTGCAACTGTTGTTGCCGCCATTGAGTTGGTAGTAATTTTTCTCACTCGGCGTATTGCAAATTGTTTACTTGTCCATTTGTTGCTTTATTTATTTGTACAAGCATAATTGCGCATTGTTGGCGTTGTTAGTAGTGGGTTGTCAGTAGAGTTGTTGCTGTTATTTTCAGTTGTGGTTGGCGCTTTTCAATTTCCTTTACTTGGAATTTCTGCAGTGCCATTGCAGTTGTTGTTTTGATTATACGCTTTGCTTCGAGTGAAGTTGTTAGCGACCTTCAAAGCTTCATTGAGAATATCTAGCACATCATTTGCAGGCGATCGAGAGCGATTGCAGCTTAGCTGTTGAAAATAAACAATTTCGCAGGTCAGCTAATAAGCGCCGTTTCATACATATGAGACAGTTACGTGTGTATGGCTGTGACAAGGGTATTGTAATTTTTTCGATCTATAATAGGCTCATACTTGTATTAAAAAATTATGTAAGGTGTATTAAAAAAAATCTAAATGAACAGAATAAATTGGCGAATTAATTAGTTCCGGCTTATATATCTGCAGAAATAATTTAACGATAAAAAAAAAGAATTATCTCCATACTTATTTCGATATTCTCGGAACACTTATGTAAATGTTCATATACCTTATATGAGGGGGCGTCACTATCATAGAATGGAAAAAACAGCTGCCGAGGAATGATCTTCTAATGTACATGCTCGATCTGGTATCTAGTGACTTTTATTGTTTTCAATTTCAAGTGATCGCTATGAAGAAATTATCGACAATGAGGTAGAATTTGAACCAAAAAAACAATCCAAGTATACTAAATATCGAAAAGTTGAAAGATCACTCATCGTTGTTGAATAATAAGATATTTGCCGAATAATGGCGATAAGGATTCGAGGGCCTACTTTTTGAGTCAATTGTCATCAATGTTTTCACTTTGTAGCAACACGAATTTATTATAATCGACCATCGAAAGGTAAATTTTTTTAGAAAATGTCTTCTTCTAGGTTAGGTAAGGCAGCGGCTATATCCGTAGTCTTCATGAAAGTGATAAAGGAAATCCCGTATCACCTCCTAGGTGTAAAAGCCTTGGATGGCCTGCATAAGCTGATAACGTGTGCCGACAAAGAAGCTGTCAGCAGATTGTGGCAAACTTGGAAGGGAGCAAAACCAAAGACGGTGGCTAAAGTGAATCTATCAGTACGCCCTCGAGCTAGCGTCTGGCTCCCAGCCCTCCACCCGTGAAGAAATTGAGGAGATGTTGCGATACTTCAATTCCTCTACGGGCCACTAGCGACCAGAGAGTGATCAGGCTAATACTCCTGATGCTCCTGAATAAGGAGTCCCTCAACCCTCTCAGCGACATCAAGGGGATCAAAAGTTATTCTAAGGATCCTTCCAAGAGACGTCCGAGCGGATGACCCACAGGCTCCAGGAGTGTCGTTGGAGTGGGGAAGCAATGTCCAAATATGCCCAACATAGAAATTGACTCCGTCCCATTGGACGTGATTAGTTCTGAAAGCTGATCGTCGACTGACGGTACCATTTTCAGTCTAGAGCGGCTGTTCAAAGAACTCACATTTTTGGAAAAGACTTTGAATGAAGAACGTTAAAGACAGAAATTCACAGGCTGCTGGCGAACAATAACAAAGGTAGAATCAGAGCTTGTTTATTGGTCCGAGATGTTTTTCTTTTAATAAATTTCAGCAAGAAGGTTGTCGGCCTATATGCCAGAGCAGAGGGGAGCTAACGTAGTCATTGATTCGGACGTTAACTCCAGACACTCAGTTTCGGGGAGAGCGTCCATCTATAATACCATTTAGAAATTTCAGCGACAGTGATTGGGATCTGTACTGCAGGAAGCTTCGATCAGCGGCAGGTTGCGACTCAGTGCTCACAGCCATTGCGATATATGAGTATGTTGCGGTCTTCTGAACCTTTATTGAAAGCTCATGTACTCCGAGAACTCAGGAAGACAAAGGAAAACCACACAGGAGGACATCGGAGCTATCGGAGATCAGATTTTCAAGCAGAAGACCACGAATGCGACTCTAGGCGATTGGGCGCTGTATAATTTTATAATTTTATTTTTGTGATCCCAAATCCGGGAAAAATATTAATTCAATAATTATTTATGCATTGGCTCCATTAAAAGCAAAAATGTTTTCTTCATCTGTATATCATCAATTTTTGTTTTCTGCCAAGGTTTGATTTTCGACTTCAACCACTTATTTGTTAAAGAAAAGTTCTATACCGTTGAAATTAATACATGTTTTTTTTTACCATATTAAAGATATTTGTTCGAATACTTCGAACTTCGAAAAATGGCATTTCACATACTTAATCTATCTACAAGAATTGTACGGATAAGTTGTACAGAAATATGCATAAAATTATGAATGGAAGCCACACGCAAATTTTTATACTCTCGCAACAAAGTTGCTAAAGAGAGTATTATAGTTTTGTTCACATAACGGTTGTTTGTAAGTCCTAAAACTAAAAGAGTCAGATATAGGGTTATATATACAAAAGTGATCAGGGTGACGAGTAGAGTTGAAATCCGGATGTCTGTCTGTCCGTCCGTGCAAGCTGTGACTTGAGTAAAAATTGAGATATCATGATGAAACTTGGTACACGCCACCCTCCCATACAAACGTTATGTTGAAAATCCCTAAAAGTGCGTTAACCGACTAACAAATAACGTCAGAAACACTAAACTTTACGAAAGAAATATCAGAAGGAAGTTGCATCCAGGCTGTTTTTAAAAATTTAAAATGGGCGTGGCGTCGCCCACTTATGGACCAAAAACCATATCTCAGGAAGTACTCGACGGTATATAATATTTTCTTAACACCCTGATGACATGTACCAAATATGGGTGAGATCGGTTCACAACCACGCCTGAAATCTTGATTATCACTTTATCATGCGAGAGTATAAAATGTTCGTTGACACCCGAACTTAGTTGATAAATTATGTAAATTGTAAAATATATTTTATACTACTATATTTTATTTATTTATTCGTATTGTACATATGCATACATATTTCGTTTTACACAACTAAAAAATATTGTTTTAATGCGATTATTTTATTTCGGTAATTTTGACATTTCGAATTATTTTTGTAACAATTTATATTCATATTAATAAAATTCAAAAAGTCGGGAGTGCAAAGTAACAACATTGTTGAAAAATACTTATTGTTGATGTATTTAATTATTTTTAATATAAGTATTGAATTATTAATTTTGTAGCTATAAAATCATACATATTATGGCTATAATTACGTAAACATTTTCGTATATTTATAATTCAAGTTTTTATTTTAAAGTTAATATTTTTTAATAAAATTATGCTTACAAACTACTGTTACTTATACATACATACACATACAAATATATATATTAATTATGCACAAATATAACGGTGATTCGCAAGCAGTATTTATTTCTTTCTAAAACTAAGTGTATCGATACTGCTATTGGTTGCTTTTAGTTGATAGTTCCGTTTTACAAAGCACTGCTTCGTGTTAACTTGATTTATGTTATAAATTTATATATTTGTTTAAGTTATGTATATAGAACTGTAAGTAAATGTGCTTTGTGTGCATACATATTAACATTTGCTTACATAATTATTTTTTACTTTCATTGTTTTTTATGTGTGCACATATAAAAAGTGGGGAAAAGCTATTTTTGTAGTCATTATTTACAGTTAATCAGGTATAGTTAATTAAAACGGTAATCAAAAGGAGCCGTAAGAGCGCCTGTAGCGTTCATTGCATACATACATATATATAAAGGCAGTTTGATAAAAAAATATATATAATTACTATAACCCATACTTAGCTGTTATATATATTTTATTATTTAATATTAATGCAATTGTAAGCATTTTATTATTATTAATTTTTAGGTAGGTATGTATAATTAT